ATATTGTTGTTATTTCAACGCTGTCCTCATGGATCATACGTCTCCTTATCCTTTTCATGTCCGGTTTGGATCCTCACAAATCCTCCCGTTTGTCAGCGAAATTGCGCCCAAATCTTAGATGAATCCTCAGTGCTATTCATCGCCTCTGCAGTTGCCTTATATCTAAACCATGTATTCGCGCGCTCTCGCTTTATATGCTTGCTTGCAGCGACAAAAATCGCTTGCTCTCTCTGTTGCATCGAACAAATTTCTCGAACTGACCTGTTCTGTTCAGAAATGCTGATATTGAACGCGCCGTTTATCATCTACGATGCGTTGCAACACTGGTATTCACAAGAAGGTTTCCCTTTTCCAATTTCATAAGCCTCGCACGCTGCTATGTAGTGTGTGAGTGATGTATGCTTTACAAGACAATTGTGGTTCTGCAGTCGCTTGGCCAAAGAGTCGTATTGCGAAGCGACCATGGGAAAAAAGGCTTTAGATGCATTACAGCTGGTACGGCTTACTTGCCGTAAAGAGTAATCTAACTTCGAACGCAAACTTCGCTATAATGCACTCAGAAATCCTTTCTGGCTTGTTTTTTTACGCTGAATGTGGTAGACAATGATTGAAGAACTAGTGTTGTCTTTGCCAAGTTTTTAGGCGAACTAATTTTATATCAGAGGTTGCGGCAGAGCGTCAGTGAATTGGGAGCGCGTGTTCTGCTGAGTTAACCCTGTAAACTCATATGTGGTGAGGTAGTGGTGTTTGTGATTGTAAAAACGGTCCCGACTAGTTTGCTTGTTGCCCATTGTGCGCATAACTGGTGCCTGCCTTCTATAGTATGAACCTCGTTAAATACAACTGGATTGTTCATCCAGAACAATTGGTTTTGACCAAGTAATTACTGCAGTCATACTATTACAGCTAATCTTCACTCTAACCAGACTTGCAATATATCATTAATCAAACCTAAGTGTTTTTCTCTATTCAACTTGACGAGGGGAGAGCTGTTTCTGTCAACTGCAAATAACTTTCAATAGCTTTCGTGACAATTGAAACCTGAACTAGGCTTTCTTCAAAGACTGAGCAACCTCAATATTCCGAATCTGCGGGAGACCAGTCCTTAGATTTCCTTATGTTCGCAAATTCACTCT